CAATAGCCTCAATCCGCAAGAGTAATGTGTAGGGAATCCCAGCACTATTTGTCCTTAATCCGGTTTCCAACTTTTTGGGGTTTACTGTACTCGAAGCCTCAAGGATCCCGGTTTGAAAACCCTGACCCTCGAACAAAGTAAAGCCCTCAACTCTCACCGAAAGTGCCCTAGCGCCGTCGTGATTGAAAAAAGGTTCGAGCACTCGCAGCCCCAAACTCCGAATCTCTAAACCGCTGTTCTAAACGGTCAGGCATGGGAGCTTGAAGAGATATATAGTAGTATTGCAAGATACTCGCCCCCAAAAGGCCAAGACTCAAGGACTGCAAACCCTGTATTCGGAGGCTTTTGTTGAGCTCCTTCCTAAAGGGTGCAAGAAAGATTATAGCTTATAACCCCTAAACCGTCTACCGTCTACACTTTTGGAGCCCGACTTGGGCTTCTTCAGACTGTTTTACCGTCGGGCTTGACATGCCAAGAAATGGAGTCTCCTACATTACCGAAGTTGATTGCGTTTAGGGTTTAGGGTTTAGGGTTTAGCGGTTTAGGGTTTAGGGGTTTAGGGTTACGGGGTTGAGGGCTTTGGGTTCAGGGCGCAGCTTCGGACATAGCAGCAAGACAGCGGGGGGATACGGCCCAGTGCCTCTTCTTCGATGGAGAACAACCTCAGTAGCTGCAGTCAGCATACCCCCGTATGTGTTTTAAGCACTAATCCCACAGAAGCCCGAAATGCCTCAACTCGAAACCCGACACCCTCAAAACCCTCGAATCACAACTCTAAGCCTCAGGCTGTAAATCTGTCGTGATCTGATCGTGGCTTTTCCATTCTCAGCTTCCCCTGCTACTTCATCCTCACGCCAATCCGTAGCCAGCTCGTGCGTTGGCCTCGATTCCTGAACAAACTAAGCCCCGCATAGGATCGTTGCTCATGGCCTGAACCCCAAGCCCCTGAACCCCAAATAGCCTATGCCCTTTACACCCCAAAAATTAGCGAAGTGCTTCGTTGGAAGTCTGAAACGTTGTTAGTAATATAATAATTACCATTGTGAGTATTATCATCTGCATTGCGGTTGTCAAGCTTATTCAGTCGTTGGTGAGTTGAAGCCGCAGGTAGAGCAAAGACGAGACTTGGTGTCTCGAAGAGACCTACACCGCTCTTCGACTCAAGGCTTAGCGTTGTTGCTATTCCTGCTTTATTTAGGTGTCCCTGCTCTGGCGCGCTAGGGTTGAACAGTTCTTCTTCAGGCGCCTGCTTGAAAGATAGATACTCGGACTTCGCTAATCGGAAACTCATGCTTATGGGGCTTGGCAGGATGTTCCTGTGGGGATTTTGGGGGCCTTGCTGACAGATCCTGCGACTGAGTTCATCCGTTATGTTGCAGTTGTAATTTGAGAAGGCTTGACAGCGGCGTTATACGGGCTTGATATGGTTCTTGATAGGGTTTACAGAAGTTTTGTCTTCCTAGGTTAGAGACTTAGTTAACTAGATATATTTCGGGTCAGAAGAACCCTAAGGGAGGTCCTTGGCAACAGGAGAGGTCCTTGGCAACAGGAGAGGAAGCACAAGACATGCCGAAGCGTACACACAACACCTCAACACAGCACAGAATCCCCCTACGAAAAGCAGTGATCTTACATTCAATTCAGCTCCCTTTTCCAAACTCGACCTTTACATATTCCCTGATGCATGAATTCACAACAACCCCACATCAACGCTATCAACAACTTCACCTTGGATGGGCTTAGTGTTGGCAACTCGAAAACCTGAACGAGATGCCCCCGCAGAGGCTTCTTCTCCTTAGAAGGAAGCCCTTTGCGTGAAGCAGGGCCTTGAAACGCCAACTCCCTTTTTGATTTCTGGAAAAGTCGGAAACCTAAACTCAAAGCCCTAAACCATACTTTGGTCCGGCTTGACACCTAAACCCAAAGCCCGAGGCATGCCTCTATAAACCAAAAACCCTGAACTAAAACCCTAAAAGCACCTTTGGAACTTCAAAACAAGCTCGTTAAGCTCCCAGCTCACCCGCACGCTGATGCAGAAGCAGCTCCTGTTAGTAGTAGCTCATATTATATACTAGTTCCTACTATTCAAACAATATAGTATATAATAGTATAAGATTAGTACGATGTAGAATAACAATCATACAAGTCTAATATCGTACATATAATAACAGTATAAGATTAGTATGGCTTTGTATAATATCGTATAAGGTAGAGTATATTTGCCGGATCGCTGCGGTTTTCTATTCCCAAACCCATGTGTACCGTCATAGGGCTTTGACGTTCAGAGTAAATGGATTTTAGGGTTTCAGCCCCCGCACTGGACTTTGCTTTCCCCCGTCTTTCAGGTCTGCAGGCACCAACCCTCCAGCGTACTATTGGGTTTGTCGGGCATGGTCGTGCCCAACAGACACAAGTGACCCTAAACTCCAAACCCTGAACCTTAAACCCTAAACTAAGTGGTCGATAAAAGTTTGGACCACACCTCTTAGCCAAAACGAAACGCAGCCAGGATTCGAGCTGATAGCAACATGAAAGAAAGCCAGCCAGGGCGCGAACCCAACGTGGAAACTAAGCTCTACAACTCCCGGCTCTTCAGAGCATGGGGTCACGACAACACTTAATATAGAAGCCTGAGTACGTGGCTTCTGCACTTTTTCCTTCAGGATCCTTGCTTTCACTGTACTATATTGCAACCACAACACCATCACAACCCTGTTCTAATTTATTGAGTCTTCTTTCTTGGCCCGACCCTAAACCCTAGACCCTAACCCCAACCCCTGAACCCTGAACCCTAAACCCGTAACCCGTATAAACCCTAAACCCTATACCCCCCCCCTCCCCCCCGCCCCCCGGCCCAAACTGAGGCCCGCTGCGATGAACTGCAACTCCACGCCGGGCTTGTCGTCTAAGGTCTTCGACCTGGACGTTAGTCTAAGGTTGAACCCATGGGCTCCTGGTATGGGCCCTGAAGGCTGGGATCCTTATATACCTACACGTATACCTACTATATACCCTCTTTGTACCCTTAAGCGTCCCTAGAAAGGCCTAAGGGTCCATATTAGGGACCACACTTGGAACCTTCGGGTGTAGGGGCTTTTGGGGGTCTACCTGAACCCCAAAAGTATGTAGAATAACCGCCTTTTGTAGGTGTTGGGCCATTATTTTGATCTACTTTTGAGGGTTTAGGTAGGGTTTAGGGCTTAAGGTTCTTATCTATCTTTTCCATACTTCGAAACCTAGTATAACCCGCGTAGAATCTCGTAGACCCCATAGAACCCAATGATAAACTCCCCTACAAGCATTAAGTAGAACGCTCGAGGAAGCTCTTCGAAAGGGATGTGCAAAGCCCAGTACGAGCATATCTCCGGGCTTTTCTGAAGTCTACTTCCAGGACCCTGATTCAGGTCGTTCACGTTCGTTTTAAACCTTAAACTTCTAAACCCTGAACTCTAGGGCACATCGTCCAACACATGCTGAAGCCCTCGAAGGGCGCCTGCAGAGTACGTACTTTTGATCACTTTTGCTTTGTGTTGAAGTTGACCCTAAACCCTAAACCCTAAACCCTAAACCTTTACAGGACTTTGATCGACTTTGTGGTTCTCGGGCATTAGTAGGCTGTTAGAAGTCTTTGGGCTTGCAGTTGGTGGTTTGGGTTTAGGGTTTAGGGTTTAGGGTTTAGGGCTTAGGGTTTAGGGTTTAGGGTTTAGGGTTTGGGGTTTAGTGATTGGGCTTTGGGGTTTAGGGTGCGGGGCTGTCGAACCAAAAGCGAATACAGTTCAGCGGCAGCCACTGTCTACAGCAAACAAGGCATCGACATAGGAGCTATGAAAAAGGTATCAACAAACATATTAGCAATAATCATGCTTCTTTCCATACTAGTAATCATGAGATGAATATTCATGCCTACCCGCCCCCCTCCAAAAAAGCAGAACGCGAGGATGTACCCCATGACCGGTTCTAAGAATCGTCCCTGGATTTTGGGATATGTGGAGGCTCTCAACGGCAACAGATATTTACAGGGCCCAGAAATAGACCTCAATGCCCGACAGCTAAAGCTGAAGTTCAGAAGTTATGAAGTTACTAGCCCGCCCCTGAACCGCATCGCCGAAGCATTGCATCCACACGACACACGCCAGACTTTGAAGCCTAATATAGGGGCCTGTTTGGGGGCCCATTATACTATAATAGTAATAATAATAATAAAATAGAAATAATAAAAATAAAAAAATAAAAATAATAATAAGGAACCCCCAAAATAGTATAGGTATAGGCAATTGTTCTGGAACCCTAAAAATACCCGTAAGGGAAGAGTCTTCGCCGAGTTTCAGCTTCTCCAGGCGATCGTATCGATCCTAAAGCAGGTCTGCTTTAGGGTCTTCAGGCTTTAGGGCTTAGGACTCACAGCTTCTACGAGGATTCGAGACTTCAGAAACCCTCAGCCAGATGCCACTGCAAAATCGCGGAAGTGCAAACGTCCACCGAAGCAAATGGTGTAGAAAGTTGAAGTCTCTCTCAGGGAGACTGATGTTGCAATTCCAGCAAGCGTCCTCATCTGCATCCTCTTCTTCCTCTGGCCACGGCATCGTCGGCGATGTCGAGCCACCATAGCGCTTGATCCTATCGACCTCGGAGAGTTGCCAATGAGACTTGTAAGCATTGCGTATAAACAAACAATAACAACACATAAGCCAGTTATAGACAATTTACGATGGTGTATCATACGTGTGTATATATACACATACGTTATATATACATAATATATATATATATATATATATATTATATATATACATACATTTATATATATATATATATATATGTGCATGCATATGTACATAATGTGCGGCCGCATATCCATGCGTTTTTGGTTGAGAAGGGCTTAGACTCTCCCGTTCAGAATACGTCGAAGCGTCCATACTGGCAAAACGCGGCCTGCTGAAACGTCTGAATGCTCCTGACCGACATGCCACAACGCGAAACGGTTCGGGGGACGCGGGAGCTGCGAAACCTACATCCTGGTCTTCCGAGCTTGCCAGGGCCGATGCTCACGACGGAGAACCAACGTCGGAACAAGTGAAGCACAAAAAAACCCTTAAATATTGTTTAGTGCTGCTTGTGATGAGATGAAATCTCAATGCCCCTCACCCCACTTGGGCGTATCAAGGCAGGTGCAAGCTCCAAAATGCCCCATCATGTTTGGGCCCACGCTGTCGTCGGATTCGCCTTAGTGCAAAGATCAAAAGATTGGCTGCATCCACAGCAGTGGTGAACGACAGTACAATAGCGGAGATCCCATCGAGCGGTCCCAATTGCACATCTGGCCACATGCTGGGTCCGATTAAGGAAGCTGGCTACCCGCAAGCTATGCCAGCCTGCCGTGACAAAGCCCACTGTTCACAGGCTGGCACAGCATTCGTTGCGGCGGCCCATGAACAGCATGAAACTCTGAAAAGTCCTTTTGCTTCAAAGGCATAATGTTGGGTAGCTCACCGCACGTGAGGTCATTCGGGAAACAGCGGCCCAACAGCAAGCAACCGCTTGCCCATACAATGCCGAGAGACGTTGGCAGGCTCCAAGATCTGAAGGCCGCCTGCACTGATATAGGGGGGTTTTGGAGTTCCTGTAAAGGGATCCTTAAAGGGGTTTATAAGGGATCTATAATAGAGCTCTATATTAGGGGCCTTAAAAATTAGACCAGGGTTTCGGGATATATTATACCATAGTTATAGCAAGGAACCCCCCTTGGAGGTTCATGGGCAGTTTTAAGTAGGGTTATAAGTCCCCTTAGTACGGTATGGTTACCCTACTTGTAACCCTACTTAGAACTACCCATGAACCTCCAAGCAAGATTGTCAAATCGTTGAGCGTGTTGTTTTCAAGGGACCTTTTGCACAAGGGTCTGCAGAGTAGTGGGCTGGGGTCCTCGGTCGACGTTTTCTGTAAGGACTAAGACTTTCAGAGTAAGTGTTGAAGCCCTATAAACCCTAAACCTCTGATGTAAGGGCCTTCAGAATTAGAATAGGGTTTTGGGCTCCTTTATAGTATTGGTATAATAAAGAACCATAAGAGTAATGTTGGTAACTATTTAGGCTTCTATACTAAACCGTCGGTCTCTCACGCCTGCCATGCCGATGTCGCCCTCCTGGAACTCGAGGGGCTGCTCGAAGTTCAGGCTCTTCAAAAACCGACTCCAACCTTGGGTGTGGGGCTTTGCGGCTTCAGGGCTTTCGGGCTTTAGGGCTTTAGGGCTTCAGGGCTTCAGGGCTTTAGGGTTTAGGGCCTTAGGGGTTTAGGGCTTTAAGGTTTAGGGCTTTAGGGCTTTAGGGCTTTAGGGTTTAGGGCTTTAGGGCTTTAGGGCTTTAGGGGTTTAGGGCTTTAGGGGTTTAGGGCTTTAGGGCTTCAGGGGGTTGAAGGCTTGGGGTTTCAGAGATCTCGCAAGTTGAGACATTGAGACTCCAGGCTGCAAGGGCCGACTCGGTTAAAGTCGAAGGAAGGAGATGGCATGAAGGTACCTAGGGTTTAGGGTTTAGGGGTTTAGGGTTTAGGGGTTTAGGGTTTAGGGTTTAGGGGTTTAGGGTTTAGGTTCTACTTGGAGGTTCATGGGTGGTTATAATTGGGGTTATAAGTAGGGTAACTGTAATTACAAACCATCTTAGGGGACTTATAACCCCATGTATAACTACCCATGAACCTCCAAGTAAGTACATGGGCAGTTATACAAGTAGGGCTATGAGTCCCTTACTATGGTTTACAAGTCAAGATTCTAATTACCCCACTTATCACGCTACTTACAACCAGCCTCGAACCTCCAAGTAGCGTTCAGCTTCATGTCATCTGGGCCATGACTCTCCTATGTAATGTAGGGGAATCAACAATTAGAATAGGGTTCTGGGGCCCATTATACCATAAGTATAATAAGGAACCCCCCAAATGACTATAGGTACTTAAATGACTATAGGTAACTAAACTTTAAACCCTAGTCCCTACACCCTAACCCCTAAACCCTAAGAATTATTCAGGCTCCTATGTTACTGGTGATGCAAAATTGGGCGATCCCGTATCTCTGCGGCAGCCTTGAGGATCTCGAGCTTAGGGTGTTTAGGGGTCAATTAAGGGCCTAGGGATTCGGGTTTAGGGGTTTAGAGGTTTAGGGTTTAGGGGTTTAGAGGTTTAGGGTTTAGGGGTTTAGGGGTTTAGGGTTTAGGGGTTTAGGGGTTTTGGGTTTAGGGCCTAGGGTGGTTTCCCTCATTCACCAGTCACATGACTAAACAAGGCTCCGCCAACTCGTGCCAGACCCATTTTTGGCAGCACTCTGAGCGCCAAGCGTTTCGAGCTGACCTCTTCTATTGTGGTCCTCGGGGTTTTGAGTGTAGGATTATGGCCTACGGTTTCGGGTCCACGGTTTAGGGTTTGGGGTTTAGGGCGGTTTGTGGTTTAGGGTTTAGGCTAGGTTTCTTCGAGCCATGCGCTACACGGCCTCTTCAAAGCCTGCCAGACCGGCTGTCACTACAGGCGGTACGACCACATACGCAGGAGATGCGATTGGTTTCCCATGGCCAGTCGCACAAAAAGAACAAATATGCACCCAACTAAGGTAACAGAAGCAAAGTCCTCTTACCGACAGACCCACATTGTGAGTTTTGCAGGAAGCGCGAGCTCGAGAGGAAAAGCAACTGCATTACTGCTAGCAATGTGAGCTAGGCTTCGGTCTAAGGTTACTTACCCCTCTCATTCGGATTTCGCCCAGCTTTCATTGCTTTTAAATGCTAGCAGCTAGCGTGGGCTTGATCAGAATGGGCGGCCCCATTTGCTGATCGCAGGATTCTGCAAGGTGGCTTGCACTGGAAGAGCCGTAACCGGCATCCTCAAAGAATGCTGATGTCAAAGAGTCACCTTTCCCTTCCTCGTGTTCCGCACGCATGAAAGTGAAGCCGGACCTCTTGCACTGAGAGCTGGGCACTATGACCGACGCGCGGTTGAGGCCTGAAATGCTGCTGTTGAACCGGAAGTGGGCGTGAAGGCAGCTTGTGGATGAAATTTACCTAGCCCATGCTTGTGACAGAGACAGAATCTTCATAGGGGCCTGAATACGTGGAGGGCAATACTATACGCAATACTATATTACATTGTCTTCGGAATCGTTCCGGTCGTGCCGAAGTTGCTACATCTGGAGATTCATGTTACTGTGCTGGACCGTCAGGAATCAAAGCCCCCAACCAAGATCCGGCATCAAGGATTCACGGTGTCGGTGGAAAGTCTGAACCCGTCGTCGTGCAAGAACCAGATTCTGGGACCCGGACGTGCATAGCCTTGCATGTCCTCGTACACCGCCTGTGTTGTCGGCTGATACTTGCAGCTGCTTCGAACATCGGTGCTAATACTTTTCGCACTTTGGTCGATGATCACACTCGTGATGTTTCTGGCCGGCGTAGACCGTGTATGACGATGCCCCCCCCCCCCCACATCCCTGCTCTCGGAGGTCCTGATAGGCTTGGTTCAGCTGTGCAATCAGAAGGTTCCTTGGGCAGAGAGATTCTGAATGTCGAGATTGGGTTGCTGCTGCAGGATCCAAACCAAATTTCCTCCGTTTAAGTACCCATACACCATACACCTAAACCCGTAACCCTGAGCCCATCACAATATCGAGGCGGTATCAGACTAAGGACACCCAAACTGAGCGTGGAATCCCGCTCCGCCTTTCTGCCACGACTCCGGTTCAACAGCCTAGTGCAGGAACCGCTATGCGGGAGCAGTGTTTAGGAGTTCAGGTTTCGCAGTTTCTCGGATTCTGGGCACAAGATTTCGAGCATGAAAGACATGGGCGAATGCAACGCAGCTTCATGAGGAAGATCACGACGATGATGATGAAAAGGCACACGGCTCCAAGCACCCAGCCCTCTTCCTGCAGCAAGACTCTTGCTCGCAACTCGCAGAGGTCTTTCTACGGCCAGGGGTCTCTTGAGGGGACTTGGGAACACGAAGCGGTAAACAAGCATGGCAACAGTCCTTGACCGCCACGTACCCGGACATTGGATACATGTTCAGGGCCATGCTCATGAGCGAGACCATGCCTGTGTCGATGCCTGCATGCCAAAGGCACTGCGGTCTTGGAACAGGAGTTGCAATCAAAAGTGAGATCTGGATGCAAGGCATACCTTACTCATACTTGACACTGCTATACCAAGTCTTAGAATGAAACAAGGAGAGAGCTGTATACCCTGCAGTTCAACCCTTTAGTTTACGGTTGAAGGCTCATTCCAGGCGGTGGGAAAAATCAGGAAAGAGCTTAACCCTAGCGATAGCCAGACCACGTCAGTACGAGTTAGCCACGGTGCTTGGATGGGCCACACGCCATCAGTTCATGCTGCCATCAGGTACCAGCCGTCAGGGTGCAGCCCCTTTCTCGCAAAAGTTTTGCTCCCCTCCCTCTCCCGCAGCACGAAACTACAGAACAGAACAGTAGTCACAGCCTTGAAAAGGCACGGAGCAACAACAATAGTGGGGAAGGAGGCAAAATCACGCGCAGTTCAGTGCAGCGCTTTCGCCCTCGTTTGCAGCTTCTATATGGTCTACCCCAATACCCTAAACCGTGGGAGCTCGCCTGAAAAATCGTCCAGCTGATGTCTCAGAGCGGCAACCGCCGTGGCAAAAGCGAGGATAAAGAAGGTTCCAGCCATCCTCAGCTCTTCCCGCTGGGGCAGATAGGGTGTAAAGTTTAGGGTTTACTTACCTTTGAAACATACCAGAGCAGTATTATGATTGTTACCACTACTAGTTCTTGTGAAAAGTTACTATTGCTGTTTCGATGACTATTCGTACTCTCTCTCTCTCTCTCTTACGTTTAGTCCGCGGCTATGTTAAAGGGGCGTGCCTAAGACACGGCTAGTCGAGACAGCTGAACCCTAGGAGTGCGATTGACGCCACAGAGGCATTAACTGACTATTCATAGTCATTACTAATTCCATGACGAGTACCAGTATTCATACTGTTGCTATTGCTGTTGCTACTCCTATGGCTACTACCATGACTAGGACTATAACTATTGCTGTTACCACAACGATTGAACTATCATTCTATAAGATTATGATTACGATTCTATTACTGTATTTCATTACATCTACTTTTGCTAGTGCAAATACTGGCACGACTTAGTGAGATTTCGTTTTCCGTTAGACTGAAACTCTGGTTCCTGTTACTTTTTTCTATGACTAAGAACGTTTCTATATGTTGTATCATTATTTCTGTTGCTAGCATTAGTACCATTACCACCGCAGATGCTATTGCTATGCCAATAATTTCACCTGTGCTATTGCTATTGCTATTTCTGTTAAACTATCTCTAACAATCCTATCACTTCACCATCATAATTGCGATTACTATGGCTATTGCTATCGCTGTAGCTAACCTGCTAATGATACCACTTCTAGCTACTACTGTTTCTTGTATTATCAACTAGTCTCGCTTTTTTATTCTGTGACGATTCTTAGAAGCTATAGGGACTATAAGGGATAACACTCCCGCTTGCAGCAAAAGACAGTTGAATTCATTAATTTGGAACTCTGAAATCTGTGCCCTGATATCACCTCGGGTTATCCTGTACCTGCACGGACGCTTTGTCAGCACACGTACTCTCGACTGCCTGTGTGCGGGATCCAACAAGGGGTGCCTTGTCAAGGGATCCTCATCGTAAGGATCGGGTTAGCCGCTAATGTAGGAACCTGTAGCCCCAATATATTAGGGTTCATACTAAGAACCCTAATAAAGTCCCAGGGTTTCTTAATCAGGTTCCTGCATTAGCTAGTTCGGGCTTGTATTTGCATTCTTCATTCAGGAACGGGCGGAACCTTGCACCTGAAGCTGGCTGCAGCCTGGAAACAGGAACAGGCCTACTTCGACAAGGATGCGCCCGCAAACCAGCACAAAGGCAGATATTCGCATCGAGAAAATCGTAAAGTCCATCAGCAAGGCCCAGTAGAGCAAGATGCCGATACCTGCAGAGCAAATCTTGCAGCGCATGTATGATCAGCATGCCCCGAAGCCGAATGACGGGTGCCTGAGAAAAGCGAGTAGACCTCCTTCTTGTCCGCCGATTGCGGGCAGTACGGTGTAAAAAGTGTCTCCCTCAGTGGCGTGGGAAAGGTCTGCATGTGCTTCTCGATGCTTCGTGCGGGCAGAAAGAGTTATCTGCGTTGAACGTAACCTGGCCGAGAACTTCTATGAAACATCCACCACTGACTCTTTCTGTTAACCTGCAACACCTGAACCCTTGAAATTTGTAGCCTGGAACTTGACAAGATCCTTGCAAAGCAGAGAAGCTCGAACTCTGGCGTTCCAAAGCAGTAGAAGATGGGCTCTTGCGTGCACATCACGATCCTCAGGAGCGGGTTGGCCCCTTTGAGCCATGTCAAACATATTCGTGAGCCAGACCCCTTTGTAAATCCAAAACGATAAAGGAAGCTATCCCACAGGCCTATCCTGGGGTTTTTAATCAGGTTTTGCTGCATCTTGAAACGAAATAGGCAATGTAATGCCGAAGGTACTGGTGAAAGATGTCTGCTCCTGGCAGCAGTCGGCTACCAACCGGGTATTGGGAACTATGACGTCTCCATGGCAATGTTTAATGTAGGGGTCTTAATAAATAGAATAGGGTTTTGGGCATAATAAAGAACCGTCTAAACCCTAAGGGTGATATTGGTAATTATTTAGGCTTCTATATTACAACTGGTTGTCAAAGCATTGCATCAGTGCCATGACTTGCTAGGGTTGTGAGACTTCTTCACGACTCGCCTCCATAACTATGGTTCCTACGTGTGCCGAGATGTGGATATCTCATTTTTGCAGGTCGTGAAGATTCTGCTTGTCACCGTCAGCAAGATCGTCGTTATTCTAGTTCTTGTCATGCTCGTTCCTTTTGATGCCAACGGTTATCGTCATCACCATCATCATCATCATCACCGTTATCGTCGTCGTTACAACCATCATCATCATCGCCATCGCCATCAACATCACCATCACCAGCATCTTCGTCGTTGTTGCAGTTTCCGCACTGTCCCAAGTGGTCCATGTACATTGTCAGGTTTCGTGGGTCAAGTCTGACAACAACCTCTGGGCCATGTGCTTCACCAGTGGCTCACCGTCGGCACGACGGTCTAAGTTGAAGCCGCTGTTGTGCAGAGTTTGAGCGACACTGCAGCTCCGAACTCTGCGCAGCCGACAACAACGAGGCCGAAAGCAAGCTCCAGAACCCTAAACCAATCAACCCGCAACCCTAAGACCAAGACGCTAAGCCCTGAAACCGTAAATGCATTTACGCGAAACCGTTCCGCCAGACGGCAGAGTCAGCGCAAGAGCCAAATTGCCTGTCTCTTGGAAACCTGGGAATGCAAGCTCCAGTCCAAATATGGGACCTCTTCTAGAGCTTTGGGCTTGGGGTTCAAGGTTCAGGGTTGAGTGGTTCGGTGATCGTAAGAAGCTACTGTTTACAATGGCAGCTCTCTTCGGGTTTGAGCCCTAAGCCCGTGGAACGAGGGTTTGCACCTCTCCGCAACCCTGAACATAGGCTTGTAGCAATAATACTAGCAATAAGTAATACTAAAAATAAACATCATCATAGTAATCTATTCACAGCAATAAATAATCATCATCATAGTAGCACTGTTATTGATAACGTAACAATGATAAGAATACTGTGTGCAGAGCGCTTTTGGTGTGGAGCTGCGAGAGGTTCAGAGTTGGGCTACAAGGATTTTTGCAGGGATGGAACCGTGAGCCCCTTATCGAAGTCTCACGACCCCGTATGAAGGAATTTCCCTACGTAACCCTTAAAACCCAAAACCCTGCACCCAAAGCCCTCATACTTGGAGGTTCATGGGTAGCTATAAGTAGGCTTATAAGTCCCCGAATATGGGCTATAACTATAGTTACCCTACTTATAACCCCCCTTATAACTACCCATGAACCTCCAAGTACTGGTGTTCGAAGGGAGTGACAAAATGGGCCTGGGCACTTGTAGGAGGCCTTGACTCGGCCGAAAAAACACCTTTAACGATTGGAATAGGGTTTTGGGGCCCATTATATTGCTATAATAAGGAACCCCCAAAAACAATATAGGTAATTCTTATATCCTAGTATAATAAGTTGAGGCCCCTACATTAGAGGGAGGGTGTTGTAATCAGGGCTTTCTACAGGGGTTTAGTCGTGGGGCTCTAACCGGGTTCGCTGAGGGTACCCACAGAGCCACGGACCCCTTCATGAAGGGTTTAGGGTTTAGGGTTTAGCGTAAAAATGAATCAAAAACTTTGGAGTATTCCACGCTATCTATGTACAGCAGCTTACAGCTCCCCCCCCCTCCCCCAAGTGCCATCTCCAAATCCGAACACTGAAATCCCCAGACCTCGGGCAAAATCCGAACTCTACAACCTAAACCCCCAACCCACAACCCAACATGTCCAAATGAAGGCTAAAAAACCTAAACTTGGCCCAGAGACTGCAGAGGTAGGTGGGGATCGGTATGCACATGATCCTGCCAAGGGCTTCCGGGAAAGCACCGGTTTGGCTTTGGGATTAAGGCATTGGCTGATAAAAACCTAAGATACAACAGCTGTAACTACACACCATAGCAATGCGAAGAAATTACAGCAGTAGTAAGTGTGCCAAAGTTAAAGCTACTGAGGAGCTGGCGCACAAACCAAACGGAACAAATCGCTGGACCACCAGGCATGAAATTAGCACCTTTCCGGGTACACGAATCAAACATACTTGGAAGAACCCAGCTGCAATAGTACTACCCCAAGCCCATGATGCCGTTGCAATATGTACAAAAACACAAACCCAAACACACACACACACACACGCACACACACACACACTTACACAACCACACACACCCAGCAAACAAGCACAACAAGCCACAGCTTTTCGAGCGGAAGTCCGCCGACATCCTTCCAATCAGAATGGGCCCTAAACCCTAAACCCGGGTGTCCCTAAACCCTAAACCCGGGTGTCCTCAAACCCTAACCCCAAACCCCGGGTGTCCTCGTGAAGTTTTTGGCTCTGCAGTCCGCCCACAGCAACCGGATCTGGCCTTGCAGTGTTTTTGGGCTCTACAGCTTAGGGCTTAGGGCGTTTAGGATTTAGGGTTTAGGGTTTAGGTTTTAGGGCTTTGGGCTTAGGGTTTAGGGTTTAGGGGTTACCGCAAAGTGGGGTTTGGGCTTTATGGGGTTTGGGGCAAAAGAGGGTCTAGGATTTGGGTAGACTTCCGGGAGACTCCAAGCAAAGCCACACAGTATGTATAAGGTACGTATTTGTATACGTAAATACATATATGCAGATACATAAGCATAAGAGTAGCATAGGCATGTACGTACATAAACAAAAACAGTATGTGTGTGTGTGTGCGCTGATACATCAATACATACCTACATACCTACATACCTACATACATACACACATACACACATACATACATACATACATACATACATACATACATGCATACATACATGCATAGATGCATGCATACATACATACATACATACATACATACATACATACATACATAATCACGCACGTATGTTGCATAGTCTGCTATATACCGATATATATATATATATAGATATAGATAGGCGGATAGCTATATGTAGAGCATTTTAGTTACAGTGCGTGCCGTGGCGATGGCTGATGGTTTGGGGTTTAGGGCCTAAACCCTAAACTGTCGAATGCCGTTGTTTAGGCAAGGGAACATTGCACAGCCAACTATGGATCGGCCGAAAGCACTGAACAGGCAACCATACTTTAACTTACTGGAACTAGACTGTGTAACATTCGGGTGCAAGATTGAGGTTTCACGAGTCCTCGAACCGAACCGGGTTACGTCCGCTGAACCTGCTTACTCCGCACACCATGCAGCGATCAGACATCTAATACAGCTTCCTTGGAAGCGGCTCCACTTCGACCCAGTGCTGTCAAGTCACTAACGAGCAGCTTGCACCTCGGCGTGCCATGTCCGAATTTGACGCAGCTTCGGCTGCAGCCAGACGTCTGCTGGAGATGTAGCTACTGTGCATGTGCCACGGGTGTACGCATCTCATGTTTGGTAAGATGGAGAAGGGCCCCTGAACATGTTGGTGATGTTCCATATGGGAGTTTCAGAAAATAGGGGACCCTGGTATTATAAGGACCCCCAAAATAAGGTACCCCTAATTTTCGGAAACTCCCATATTGTATGACATGATGGGTACCACCCGACCAGCTCCATAGAGCTCGGTGGCTTCAAGCGCACATGCCCCTGGACATCCGTCGGTACGGTTGCACATGTTCGTTTATTCATTGCATAAGTTATGCATTCGTTCATGCATAGATACATAGATACATACACAGATACATACATAGATACATACATACATACATACATACATACGTACGTACATACATACATACATACATACATACATACATACCTATGTACCGAAATATAGACATATCTATGCACACAGAGAAATTAGATAGATAGACGTGTGTATATATATATATACATAGGCAGATAGATTGATAGGTAAGTAACTGTGTAGATAGGTAGATAGATATTGTTTCCATCGCTTTATTTATGCGCTCCGGACAGACAAAGCCGGACTCAGCGCCCCTGGTCGTGACTTTCCCGTGGGAAAGACATGAGGTAGCAGTGGTCACCGTGGGCTGAAGTATAAATAAAGAGGGAGGGTTCAGAAGAAGGGGAAGGGAAGAATGTGCAGGAAATTCGGCAAGTACCAAATTGATTCATGGTACCGAGCCCATGAACGAAAAATTCAGAAACGGCGAAGCACAAACGGTTCACGGGCAAGACAACATTTAGACTGTAGAGTGAATGAGCCCGAATGGCTATGATGCTCCAGCTGCCTTGTAGTAATCGCAGGGGTGCGGAATGAGCGTGATAGCGGCTTTCAAATTGGAGTTCTACTATACGAAAAACCGAGGCGTCTCAACCCGTAGTTGCAGGGACAGGCGCATGGAGCCCAAGTAGATGAGCGTGCGGCACACAAAGAGGACGATGTCCTGCAGGTCAGACGTCTGCAACGAGGATCAAAATCCCTGTGAACTCCAGGGTTTAGGGTTTAGGGTTTAGGGTTTAGGGGTTTAGGGGTTTAGGGTTTAGAGTAAACAGGTGCTGAGCTCCAAAAATCTATGAGTTGAAGTGCACGGCAACCCTAAGTGCAGCGACATGTCATCTGTAACGAAGGGACAAGCGGGTCACCCTATATCAGAGAACAACTACGAAAAAAGCCGCACCCGGGAGACGCGATTTTCAATGCCAGTACTTATTACCTCGTGATCTATTTTACAGACATATACATCTACATACACACATGCGATTATGTCTCCCTTTTTGTTTCGGTTCATATACGTCTCCACCCTTATGCGCTGCTGACAGCGCCACCGAAGTGGCCCCATCGAAAACAAGGAGATGAATTATGAATCACCCACTTCAAGGCACCAGCCATAAGAACACTGTGAAAAAGCACGCTAAACCCTAAACCCTAACAGCACCACCAGACGAATGGCGAATAGCAACGATAGCGAGGGTGGCTCAAGAGAGCAAAATGGCTGCTGTTAGCTTGTACGGTAACAGACTATGTTGTTACAAACCCCCTACATCTCAGTCCCTAGCCCAGAAACCCCTCGAACTCACAATACTGCTTCACTCCCACAGCCGCAAACCCCCTACTTGGGGGATTATGGGGTTTAGTAAGTAACGTTATAGGTACCGTACTTGGGGTTACAAGTATCTATAGCTATGAGAACCTGATTTATAAACCTAGTGACTAAGTAGCACGATCCGGCAAGTACTCGACAAACTCACAGTAGCCCAGCACCCGCCCCGTCCTCCTCCACAGTGGCCTTGCCACCCTCCTGTAGCCTGGGGATGATTGCCTGGCCTTGGCGGGTTTGGGATTCCAAGTCGATGAAGGGCTTTAGGGTCAGGATTTGGGGTGTTTAGGATTTATGTTCGTTGTGGGTTCAGGTAGTGAGGTTCAGAGACTAATTCGGGTTATTGACGGTGGATCTGATGCTCTTGGGCCTCGGCCTATCTTTGCTAGACATGAACACAGGCCAGGTCTTGTCGAAAGAGATGGGCTACTTGGAGGTTCATGGGTAGTCATAAGTGGGGTTATAAGCAGGGTATCTGTAATTATAACCCATATTAGGGCACTTATAGCCCCATTTATGACTACCCATGAACCTCCAAGTAGAATGCTAGGGCGCAGAAGCACGCGTCTCAGATTGGTGACGACCCGGCCGAGTGCTTCGTGGGGAGACGGGCCTCGCACAAATAGTAGAAGACTGCAGCATGCAACGCAAACAACAAATGGGTGGTTCCCTAAGTTAGGGTCCCTTTGTAGGCCCCCACAATAGTAGAGCACCGTTACCAGAAGGACCCTACAACGGACCCTAATTTTTTTGAACTACCCAAATGACGAGAACGCTTCTTGCTGTGGTTCGAAGCATGCTGGCTATGCTTGGTATGGAGCCACGAACTGATGCTGACTGCTGCTGACTATGCGCATGGTGCTGACGATTACTCGTAACAGCTGGTCAGAAGCAACCGATAACTGCACTCAGTCGAGAGGCTGGTGATGAAGAGACAAAGCATGAAGAGGAAGTAGCATCTCCTGGCAAGATGCTCTCACGAGCAGGTGCAGTCGCGGAAAGGGGAGCTCGTATGAACCTGCAATAGACCTATTCCTATTCCCACTACAACGAAGTGAGACTGCCATGAACAACTACAATCGGGCTTTCAGACGACGATCACTGAGCCCGAAAAGCGCGCATGTGTACTCAAGGCTCTTTGCTACAAGCGAGCTAGCGCCTAGCCTAGGGGTCGAGGGGCTGGAGTTTAGGGAAGTCGCAGCAAGCATTGGAGGAGCCCGTCAGGCCAAGCCACCCCATCATGAAGAGATAAATCGCTAGCCGGCTCCAGATGATGTCCGCGAACAACACCTTGGGTGGCAGCAAGAAGCGCTTTTGGCAATTTTGGCCAATGTCTCAGATGGCTTCTGCGTCAACTTCCTTTCTCAGCCACTTCCATGGTACGCACAGTTTAGCTCATTCGGCTCATGGCTTTTATCACTAGGCCCTACTGCTTGAAGCCGAACGACCCTGCAACATCCATTTGCTGCTGCCGTCTCGAAGATCACACAAGGGAAAAGCTGTCCCCAGAAAGTTGCAGGCCAAGCCATGCCAGGATCATTCGGAGAGCTCTGTGTGTTTGCATGCACATACACACCTGTCTTTAGCAAACACAGCTGTGTATAGCTGTGTATCTCTTTATAGATGCATCTGTATATATATATATATATATATATGTTTACTTATTTATCCTTTACCCGATATGAAAGAATATGTGTACATGTATGCGTATATATATATATACACATGTACATGTATACATATGTAGATGCCAGTACAAACTTGTACAATGGAGAGAATCCAAGCCAAAGTCTGCGTGCCATGCGCAATGTTACCTACTACGATATATTAAGGTAGACTATAAACCAGGCGAATATACAGTAATACACGAAATAAAATGCAGTAAACACTAGAATACATAATAATGCGCTATAATATGAGATAACCCGGCAGTAATACAATACACTGTTTGTGTTGCACAAGAGCACCAAAGCCAAGCCCAAGTCGCCACCACGGAGTGGCAAATGATCTTGGGATCCTTGAAGTCAGCTAGCCATTCAAGCGCCTGCCGACAACGAACACAAGCAGTAGATTAGTAGTGTGTGTGTGTGTATACATATACATATATAAGTATGTGTGATAGTGTGTTTGTTGTAGTGTAGTTCATAGAAGACTGAAGTATAGTATAGCGCAGTGTATATTTCGGCATATTACCGTCCATTGCAGCAATCTTCTACCCCATATTATGGCAAATTCTAGTATATCTTAGTATATGGGACTAAAGTTCAGAATCGAGAGAGTGTGGTTGTCAATAGCAATCACACCTGGCACTGGCAATGCTCGAAAACGTCACAAAAACATAAGATTCAGAGTATCCAGGTTACCTCCGAAAGCGCAACGCTGTTCATGTTGCCGCAATGAGCAAAAGCAGTCGTGCTAAACCACAATAACCGTGACCATCCGAATGCTGATCTATATCGTAGCAGACAAGAAAATCGATGTCAACACAGCTGCAGTTGATTGTCAGCACCACCATTTTCCTCACGGTTACCGATGTCAACAGCTGCAGTTGATTATCAGCACCATCATGCTCATCACGATACATACATACCTACACACGTAGGTATATACAAGCATGCATGCAAGCAAGCAATCACGTACGAATGCATGCATGCATTCATAACTCATACACACATACATGCTTGCAATATGTTTACAGTATACATACATACATACATACATACATACATACATACATACATACATAGATACATGCAATATTAATATGCATATACACACAGAGTACTTACTTTCTAACATACAAATACCCTCACATACAAATATATGCACAAACACACATACTTGTACTCACAGCGCTTGCAATTCAGCCGTCCAGCACAATGATACGATACTGCGGGAGAAACACTCTCGAGGCCTTTACTTAGGTTTACCGGCTCCGGAGTCTTCAGCATTCGCTTGGTCAAACGGACGAAACAGGCCAAGTAGTCCGGCCAGAAACTTAGATGAGACTGCACAAAGTTTACTTCGGGAGCAACCCAAACCAGAGTTCGCAGAGTCTGCACCCTGAAACCCACAGAACTGGTTAAAGAAGCCTAAACCCAGAACTCTCCCCTACAAGTAAAACCCAAAAAGAGCAGACGAGCGACGTCCAGGGCTTAGGGTTTCGGGTATGGTCGAGCCCTATAGTACCCTTGGGCGCCCTACCGTGAATGATATACATCCTGCATGACCTTAAGGACCCTAAACTATGGGAACTGTGGGTCCTTGTAGGTTCATGGGTGGTTATAAATGGGGTTATAAGTCCCCTAATATGGGTTATAATTACGGTTACCTACTTATAACCCCACTTATAACTACCCATGAACCTCCACGTATTATAACCTGTGAAAGGAGCCTGGTTGAAGTAACCATCTTGATCCTGCACGAGGTGCCTCAGAAAATACAGCTCCGGGCTCTGCAGGCAGAAAGGGATTTCTAGGAGTTAATGTAGCGGCCTTCATAGTTAGAATAAGGTTGGGGCCCGTTATACTATAGTTATAATAAGGAACCCCCGAATAGTAAGGTAATTATTCAGGTTCCTATTTTAGAGCATCTGAGGTTGAGAGTCGAGATCTATCCCATAGAGCTCCCTAGCTCCCTGCGGTAAAGCCGGATCTCTGGGCGGAGAGCTTCACTTTTTTTCTGGCAAAGAGCTTCATCTGTCCCTAACCCCCCAGGTGCCTACTGTATAGGGTACTAGAGCCCCTAGGGCCCTATATAGTACGTACCTGGAGGGTTGGGGTGTCTTTCTTTACTTCACCAGCGTGCGCACGTGCTTCACCTCTGTCTCTCTCTCTCTCTCTCTCTCTCGGTCTCGCTCTGTCTTCGTTTGGTTTGCACATGAAGCGCTCTCATTGTCGCCAAGCTTCTGAATGTAATAGTTCACTCGCCGTTGACCTGTCCAGGGAACTTGACGACAACTGCCTTATGACTGCTGGCGTTCTGTCCTACTCTATCGTTGCCACCAGTACCATACTTTGTCAATATGCACATCGTTTTGAGGTGCATTGACGGATCTGAGCCTTCTGAACATCTGGTGGGGAGACAACGCTGTGGACATGCTGAAGCATATTTAACATGTTTAGTTTCGATAAACCCGTAGTAGGGTTTCACTGTATATAAAAGGACGTTTAGCACAATGATTCTATGTTGCTGGTTCAATACTTAAGTGCTGCCGCTACTTTCATTATTGTCTCATCCTTTCATGTTACAGCCCCATTCACTCTGTCGCGCGATTGAAGATCCCAGTCGTGTCTAGGCACTAGTGTGCATATGCACACAGGCACGTGTAACATGTTGCATAATAATACACATCTACCTATATATATATATATATGTACACACATGAACTACACATATAAGTAGAGTGACAGGTAGATAGAAAGACAGATAGATAGATCGGTAGATCTAGAAAGAAAGAAAGATAGATAGATAGATAGATAGATAAGTAGACTCGGTTAGATACGAGTAAAGCTAAAATAGGTTAGGTTAAGTTAAAACTAAGATTATGTAAAATTAAGATTAGACTTCCTTCGACTTTGAGAAGAAGAGGTTTCAGAAAACTAGACCAGGTTAGGTTAGATTAGACAACCAAATACGTAGACATACAGATAGATAGACAGATAGATAGACTCAGATAGACAGATAGGTAGGTAGGTAGGTAGGTAGGTAGGTAGGTAGGTAGGTAGGTAGGTAGGTCGGTAGGTAGGTAGGTAGGTAGGTAGGTAGGTAGGTAGGAAGGTGGGCAGGTAGGTAGGTAGGCAGGCAGGTAGGTAGCTAGGTAGGCAGGGAGGTAGGCAGATAGTAGGTAGAGAGAAGTAGATGGGTAGACAAACAGATAAGTAGATAGGTAGGTAGACAGACAGACAGACAGACAGACAGACAGACAGATAGAGATATACGTATAGGTATATGTATATGCACAAAACTTGCCGTACATACTCTGGTTCCTGCCTCTATACAGCCTGCAGGTCGAGTCCTATGCTCCCCAGGCCTGCAGTGGAAATGCGGGAGCGCCAAACCATGCCATCTAACAAGGTCGGCAACAAGGTTGGAGCATCGGCACCTGGTGACTCAGGAGTAACACGGATCTCGGGACAAGGGCGTCGGAAGTGATCCACTTCTTCATGGCATGGCTACTAAGATGCCCTTCCCAGCAATCAAAGGCTTCAACCCAGAATGCTGGAGCATGCCACTGTGTTGCCGGAAACCGGAAGCAAAAGTATCCTAAACCCTAAACCCTAAAGCATAGGCAGTTTAGGCACATAAACGGTGAATGACTTCCGGATGCCGCTCGAACAACGCATTGCATCCATAGTAGTAGTTGTCACGATCGGCCCGAATCGTCAGGAGGTCCTCCAGCATAGCCTCCGTTCATGACAGGGCAGGGTTCAGACTAAAAGCGTGGGGTCTGGGACACTGCTGATAATATAAATCCAGCATGTCCTTAAGGACCGTAAACTATGGGAATTACTGTATATTCCTTGTTCTGGGTAATGCGGGATTTATATCATCAGCCTATGGAGCTTGAGTCCATGAGGCATAAATGTTTAACCGTAATGGCATCCAGGTACGGTCGCAAAACTAGTTGTATTGCTGAACGGACTGATGTTCATGTGTCACATCTGCAACTTCAGCGATCTCAAACCTGAAGATTGCAACTGCTAGTGTCGTCGCCTTGGCACAATTGAGACTGCCACTCTCGATGGACCAGTACCTCGGGTGCTCAGCCAGTTGGATCAACTGTCATGTAGATGGTGCATCCGTGCCAGTGAGGCGGCATGCATCTGTGACCACGGAAGAGAAACGATCATTCGACGATGCAGCTTCTACATTCACCGACCCTTAACCCTTCATATGATTCTGAGCCAACCAGTGTGAAGGCCCAGGGACAGCGGCGAGATCGACTGAGTTCCGACCTCGCAGGCGCTGCAGGTAGATGCCAAATTCAAGAGGGGGATTGCCCAAAATATTGCGAACCTGCATGCTCAAAACCCTCAAGCTTCAAAGCAACAGCCAGAAACATAGGCCATGAACACGCAAATGACGTCATGACTTTCTAATCCGCAAAACTGCAAGCTTCTATGAACATTGGAACAGTGAGCCCTAGCAGCCTTCCACAAGAGACCTGAAGATCGAAACCCACCTTAACCCTTTCGACAACAGCTTTATCGTAATGACCAGCATTGTCAACATCGTCATGATCATCTCTGCCGCTACTATGCTGCTGTCTTGCCTCCGCTACAAGGCTCGACAAGCGAAAGTCTCGACACCTAAAAAGCACCCTGTCTGCAATCGAAGAGCGGTAATGTTGAGCAGGTCTGTTGCACGACGCCCACGTGGCGCCACCGACACGGCTTTGCGCAAGGACTGCACAAGCTTGCACTGATCGGGGCAAATCGGAGATTGTGACATATTGCGACTCAGATTTCTAGTTGTGCACTGGGCTTTCTTGCCAAAATATAGACAACAGAAATCCCTTTTAGGGACCCTGTTCTTGGGTCACAGGGGAGCTTCCAAATTCACATAGCCTTGCGTCCTTCAACGGCTTTGCAGCGGTGGGGTTAAAAGTTCCGGGTTCTTTCACGCGTGGCACACGTATAGCTGTGCGGGACCAGCACTTTCCCCACAACGCGGCTTAGGAATCATAGGGTTCAGACTTTGGTGGGGTTACCCAGGGGCTCCTATGTAGTTCCCTTTTGGATAGTATACTATAACTCCTTACCAGAAAACCATAACAGACCCAAAAAGGAACTACATTGGAGCCCCTGGTTAGCGATTGCACTCAGAGTCTGGAATATAAGTTGAACTGAAAGCTCAGGATTTAGGGTTATAAGGTGGTTTTGTTCTGCAGACCACATTGGCTCTTGGTAGTCCAACCCAAAAGACCCGCATAAGACCCTGATGTTCAACAAAAAATCATACGACAGAAAACCCGATGAGAAGACCCTGCAAAGCTTATTCAAGCAACCCTAAACCCTAAACCCTAAAATCCTAGACCCCTAAAACCGAAAACCCCAAACCCTAAAATCCTAGACCCCTAAACCCGAAAACCCTAAACCCTAAAATCCTAGACCCCTAAACCCTAAAACCCTAAACCTGTTCAAGCAAAGCTGCACGAAACCAGAACCCCAATCCTTCCTTCGGACTGTCTTGCGGGTCTTAGGGTTTAGGGTTTAGGGTTCAGGGTTTAGGGTTTAGGGTTCGGGGTTTCGGGGTTTCGGGTTTAGGGTTTAGGGTTTTTTGGTGTAAGGTGTGTGTGTGTCGCTTGAGGTTGAGAGCTTGGGCTTCATAACAACTGCTGGAACTTCAGGCTTAGAACAAGGTCTGGGTCTTCGAGACTACTCCGAAACGCCAAGTTCTGGAAGCCCTGAAGCTAACGACTGGGCCTGACTCGAGGTTGAACCACTATCCACTAAACCCTAAAGCCTAGAGCCCGAAACCCTAAATCCCCTAGAGCCCGAAACCCTAAACCCTGAACCCTAAACCCTAAACCCTGGAGCCTGAAACCGGAAAGCCCGCCTTCTCCGAGTTGGTGTTCACTGCTTTCATCACCACAGTGGAGCCTTCAAAAAAGGGTCCGCTTTTTCTCCGCCAACCCTTCGCGCGTGTGCGGTAACGTTTAGAGTTTAGGAGTGCGGGGCTTTAGGGTTTAAAATTTGATGTTTAGGGCTTTAGGGCTTCAGGGGGTTCGGGTTTGATGATTCGGGTTGAGGGGGTCTGCCTTTCAGAAGCTCTCGAACCTGGCCCTAAACCCCCCAAAAGTCTCCAGACACTGAACCCTGGACCCTGCCCCAAACCCGGCAAACCCCAAGGGTGGCCCTACATAGTAGTAAAGCCTGCAAAATGCCAAGAACCGTTCATGAAACCTTTGTAAAGACGCTCTACTAGGGCTGCTACAGTAAGCCCTCATGAAACCATAACCCTGTGAACTCAAAAGCCTACGTTACACTGAGGCCCCCATACGAAGCCACCCAAGACCCTGGTCCTTAGACCCAAAAGCCCTAAACCCTACAAAGCCCTAAGCCCCTAAAGCCCTACACCCTGAACCCCTAAACCATAATCCCCAAGGCCCTAAGCCCTAAAAGCCTTAAAAGCCTTAAAAAGCAGAATTCCCGAGGCCCTGAACCCCTAAACCCCTAAGACCCTAAAGCGTTAAGCCCCTAGGCCCCTAAACCCCCAGAATCCCGAATAGACCCATTATAGTATACTTATAAACACTCAGGCCCCCATTAGGGTTTAGGGTTTAGGGTCACATATCAAGCACCTTCGAGGATCGTCCGGACCAGGATCTTGGAGACCAAGGTGAGCGACCAGCGGAAGGCCTCCTCGGCGTTGCCGTCCTCGGGCTTTCAGGGGCCGAAAGGCTTCTTTTTGGTTTTGTTTTAAGGGTTTAGGGTTTGGGGTTTAGGGGTTTCTTGAAGGGGTCCTTTCAGGACACTCTACGGGTAATTACAAGGGTACCAGAAGGGTGACTACATGGGTAAATAAGCTGGTGATTCAAATCCTAGGAGCGGTGCGGCATGGGCTTGAGGCCTGTTGGAAGAATTACTCGCCAGGGAATGAGGTTGATGTTAAACCCTAAACCCTAAACCCGATATGGCGGCCCTCAGTCAAGCAAAGCGCAGCTGAATTCACTTCCACAGAAAAAGCTATGAAGCTTGTCCCCTTCGTTCTGTAGGGTAGGGCTTAGGGCTTGGAATTCTGCGGTATTTGTCGGCGAACAGACTTGGGGGGTGACGATTGGACTTTAGAGGCTATCAACACAGATCTTGGGGATTTCGCGGCATTTTCCTGTCGCGAATCCAAGGGATCTCGAGCTCAGGAGGTGTGCAGGATCGGAGTGTTTGGGCAGTCGGTTTCGGATGAGGGCCTGTCGCCTCACATGTATGGCGCCGTCTCTGGAATGGTCTGATAAACTCCGTATCATAATCGACGACGCTTAAGGCAGGCGTGTTGGACCAACCCCGCATGCAGACGGCTGAGTGCCGGTCTGTCGTCAAGAGCCGTACCACATCCACTGCACCGGACACGAAGGGGGAGAAGAGCTCGGTGGGGATGGCGTAGCCGACATGGCCTTGGAACATCTGGCTTGTCGGCAGCATGCTTCTGATTCGTATGTCTGTCTGAATATATACATATATATATACACATGAAATAACATAATTCATTGTACAGATAGCGAGAGGGAGAGAGGGAGAGTATCTACACATAGAGCCACCAGATCAGTGTTTATGTACGGAGGTGTGTATGTGTATTATATATATATATATACATATATATATATATATATGTATATATGTTTTTGTCTATTTATCTTTTACAATTCTACTGTATATAACTCTACATGTATGCATGCACAAATATCTTTCGCAGCCAACTCGGAAGCCGGTACCAGAGATCTGCCAAACGTTTTTGTCCCAAGATGTTGGTTGAATCCCTTGCAGGGGCAGACGGTCTCGATCCCCAACCTCAAACTTTATATAATGTAGGAGCCTTAATAGCTAGAATCAGAATAGGTCCTGCGGGTATATTCTACTATATTTACGATAAGAAACCCCTAAAAATAGTATACGTAATTATTTAGGCCCCTATGTTAGTCCGGAAGAACTAGACTCGCTTCTTGCCCTGCCGAGCTCCGCACGTAACCCCAAAGCCGAGATGTCCTCCACCATCCGTTTCGGCTGCTTGTACATCTCAACGGTCATTTCGATGATCCTAGGGCTAGCAACTGAGACAATCATTATCAGGCGTTGGGGTGTAGGCGTCTTGCAGCCGCGCCCGACTTCATGGTGGAAGCAGCTAAGAGGAAGGAGGAGCGGGGTGGAAGTAATGAGGGGGTTTCAATCGGGTTTCGGGGCATATTCTACTTCTGTAATCAAAACGAACACTAAGGAAGAATACGACTTCTTTTTCAAGCCCCGATTTACGAAGCGGAGCAGGATCAGTCTCCGCCGCCACCACCGTTCTTATTGCCATCGCAACAGCAGCTGTACTGATCGTTGTCCCCGAAACCCTCAACCCCAAAACCTTAAATCCCCAAAACCCTTAACCCCTAGACCTCAAAACCTTAAACCCCCAAAACCCTTAACCCCTAGACCTCAAAACCTTAAACCCCCCAAACCCTTAACGCCTAAACCTCAAAACCTTGAACCCCCAAACCTCAAAACCTGAAACCCCCCAAAACCCTTAATTCCTAAACCTCAAAACCTTAAACCTCTATCGGGATCAGGTTAGGCTCCCTCCACGCTAAAGCCCAAACTCCCGCCTCCGACAGGGCCAAGACCCAAGCCTCAACTCAAAAAGCCCGAACCAAAAACCCCGGGTTTACGGTTTAGGGGTTTAGGGTTTAGGAGTTTAGGGTTTAGGGCTTAGGAGTTTACGGATTGGGGCTTAGGGGCACAATCACTAAACTAAAACGTAGTGACCCTGATAGTAACCTTTTGCTGCAGCCCTTAAACCTCAAAGAAGCCCTAAAACCCTAAAAGCACGGGCGAGGCGCTTGTCCGCAATGAAGAACAGCCTTGTCGTTGACTGTTTGAAATGGTCTTGGCCAGCCGGGGCGAGCTGAAAGAACCTGTTGGGGATTCCTTTAAGGATCCCTTGAGGGGCACCATAAGGCCTACAATGGGAACTTAGTATAGGGCCGTAATAACAGAATAGGGGTTTAGAGTTTAGGGTACCTGGTTTCAGGCTTGATGGCTGACAGGTTTAAGGCTTCGAGGTTTAGGGTATAGGGTTTTAGCTTTGGGGTTTGGGTTTTAGGGTTTAGGGGTGTGGCCGGAAGAACCTGCCACGACATCGAAGAGGTCATCTCTCCGGAGCTATCGGGGTTTACCTGTATAGAGTTTTAGCTTTGGGGGTGCATGCTCGCAGGACCTCATAGGGGCATAGGCATTGGGTTTATGAGGCTGGCAGGACTTGTGGGGTTTAGGGCTTGGGGGTCTGGGAGCTATCTCATGCCAGGGTCTGAGAGGTGGTTCTGCCCAACGATGCCCTTGGCAGGCAGCAGGGTAAAGAAAATCCATTAAAGAAATCACCGCAATTCACGCATCTTGACCCATGCACAGCGTTGAGGTCCGGAAGCCTCAAGCCTACGCACACTATCCCGACCTCCCTAAACTACCTGAGTACTGAAATATTGAAAAGCAATACTCCAAGCACCATCTCAACCGGTGAAGCTCTGAGCAATCGATGTGCCTCTGCTCATGTCGTTTCAAGCGACAGACGAGCACGTGCGAACACCCTGAACAACTAAAACCGCACACCAATGCAAAGCTCCTAAACCCTGTTCCAATCACAGTCCCTATGCAGATCAATAGATGACTTTCAGCTCCTATGTATGACTCATGCAATGCCTCTTATTCCTACACTTACAATTCTGACCAGTCATATGAGCACCTTTACTACATGATGATGTTGGTGATGACGAAGATGATGATGATGATGATGATGCTGATGGGGATGGTGATGATGATGATGGTGACGGTGAGGATGGTGAAGAGGAGGAAGATTGTGATGATGCAGGTGATGGTGATGGTGATAGTGATGGCGGTGGTGATGGTGATGGTGATGACCATCATCATACTATGGTGATGATGACGATGATGATGATGATGATGAGGCGGAACTGCTGGTGCCAGTAGGTGCCTCTTGTAAACCTCGCGGCGGAGGAAGCCAATCGACTCCTCCGACATGCCGACGATGAAGCGCTCGATCGCCTTCTCGTGAACCTGTTAGGAGAAAGGGGTTTCGGTTTAGGGCTTCGTGGTTTTGGGATTGTGGGTCGATGTTAAGGCTTCGGGTTCCGGGAAGCGTTTAGGTCTTCGGAATGTACGGTGGAGTTTCGCCGGGGCTTCTGGGTTTAAAGCTTAATGGTTGGAGGGCAAAGATTAACCGTTTCGTGACCAGTGTTTGAAGGCCTCAGTGCTTAGGAGTTCAGGCTTCGTGCGTTGTGTCGTTTAAGCTTTGGGGTTACAGCTTAGGTACCAGTACTTTAGGGATCGTGTTTACACGACCTTAGGCTTGAAGCGCCGTCTTGAGACTCAGATGAGGCTGGTCAACTACTCTCAGTCTCATGACTCCAACATGTACTAGCAAAGGAAGCGCCGCTTTTACCGGGGTCCTGCGATGTTCTTGCTTCTGCCAAATGCGGTATCTGCGCCGGCTGCATAGGTCGGCGCAGCACGTCAACAGTGTGTAGTAATCATGGCAGTAGTGAGGGTCGTGATGGTCGTCAATCAAGTAAGTATGATCCTGGAAGGTATCGCAGACCAACAAGCACGGGTGCAGGCCAAGCGCGGCACAAGTACTGTGCAAACTGCAACCAAGTTCCAAAATTTTGCCAAGCAGCTACGCCCTAGACGTTCAGGTCTAGAACTCCGAACCCTAAGCCCTAAACCCAGGCCTGTGGTTTGCCCATGTGGCTTCTCCTCAGCAGCCGAAATACACAGGGTGGAAAATCAGAACGACCCTTCGGCTGCAGCTACAGAGCCAACCCCTAAGGAAGACCAAATCGATCTTGGGGATGTATTATATACAAAATTCGGTCAGATATACTATACAGTACATATACATATATATATATATATACATATATATATATATAAATGTATGTATGGATAGTTAGGACTTTCAGGATTCAGTCCAGTCGTACAGACACCGACGGCCAGAAGCCCAAGTGCAAAGACCGTATCTAGCCTAGCACGTCCTGACATTTGTAGAACTGCTCTCCTTCGCCATCATGCCGGAATTCTGATTCGCCTACGCCTCCATACTCAACGCTGTTGAAATTGCTCTCTTGAGATTGAAGCATGTCCCATAACGTTGGGACTCTTGGCCGAGATCTCATCGCAACAAGAGTGCAAGCTACCCAGTCCCAAACGCCCCCAAGTATAACACGGAACACCAAACCGGAATGCAACACGGCAACATATCTAGTGACAATGCTGGGAACCACATTATTACGAGGGGAACGGTAATGACAGCAATTATAACGAAGGCTTAGACATGAAAGTTGAACTGTGATGAGCTTTGAACCCCCAAGCCGGCAAAAACTTGCAACAACCATTCCTGCTTAACTGCTCTTATAGCAATAGGCACTACATAGTCACAAAGGTCCATAAGCTCAAAACCCTTCGACCCGATAAGGCCTGGATACGATGCAAACTTCGCCTAGCCGAGCGTCAGCATGCGCTCCACGTTCTCCCATAGCCAATTCCAGGCCACCTCATGCTCAGAGTCCCAGTCCTGCAAATGTATTTGTGCACAACGTTCGCACTTCAGGTCTTAATGGTTTTGGGTTGAGTACGTAGGGTTTGGGGTGAACATCAGAATTCAGGGTTTGGCGGTTGAGGGCTCAGGGTTCCGGTTTTGTTTGCAAGGGTCCCCGGGAAGGCTACTGTCCTTACATGACCAAAGCAAAAATACATATTGCAGACTTTGAAATAATAACCCTCTTAAGGGTAAGATGTAATTTTCCCGGATAGCAGTGGCGGGGTTGAGGCAAAGAGGCCAGTGTTTATCTCCATTATTTCCCCAAGGAGCCCCTTGAATCTCAAACCTTGAACTTTTCATTTGTAGTCCTTATTCCGCGACAACTGCCCAAGTTGTTAAACCCGTTCAATGTGTTGAGCTGGGGAGGCCCGCTAAGGTGTTTTTATGTGTGCCGTCCGTCGATGCTGAAAACATTGGTGTTTCCAAATTGGTCAAGATCATCCTCACACGGTCTATGGTTGGGTTATGTTGGGTTCATGTGCACACCCCTTCACGTTGATGCTACTAGCACTAGCTGAGTCACTAACTCTTGCCATTGTAAGCATCGCGACATGTAGAACAATGGATGAACGCTGCAATGCTGATGAGGGATGACGATGACCGTGGTGGCAATTGGGCGTGGTGCTTGCACCGACCATGTCCACGGTAGAGTTAAAATGAAGCTGAAACAATTGTTCGCAATGATTTTGTCTTCATCCATCAACAAGACATGTTCCTCTCGCGGCTGTTGTCGTTTGTTGCCTTGTTGAAAGCCGAACGTTTACAGCCTAAAGGGCTTCTGACCTGTCCCACACGAGAGTTTACTGCCCCAAAGGCTTCCAACTTGTTCTCAAGGCTTCCAACTTGTTGAGCACGAAAGCTTACCACTCCAAAAGCTTTAACTCTGAAAGCTTATTACCCCAAAGCCGTTTTTACATGTCTAAAAAAACGAAGCTGTCCCCAACGGCTTTCAGCCCGAAAGTTTACTACGCCAACGGTTTCAAACCTGTCAAACACGAAAGCTTCCTACGCCGAGGAGGCTTGTAACCTCTTAAGCCTCTTAAGCAGGATCCGTTTACTGCCCCAAAGCCTTCTAGCTTGTTAATTAAGCACGAAAGCTTCCCACCCCAATGGCTTCGAGCCCGAAAATGTAATTCCCCCAATGGCTTCAAACCTGAAAAACACGACAGTAAGCCACCCCAAAAGCTGCCAACCTGTTCATCAACACCACACATGCTAATAACGCCTCACACTGACTATATGAAACCTAATGACTATATGGAACCTAAGTATGTACCCTATCCGTATCTTAGTAGTGAGCGCCTACAGGGCCCACAGTAGCTTTGACCGCCATGATTTGACCTGACAATGCACCCTGGAGATTTAACACAGTTGTGTGCTTGTCTTGACTTGACGAAGCGTGGCTCGCAATCGTACGATTGCAGTCAAACTCACTGAACGGAACCGCTTTCCAGCTGTATCCAGCAACCAAAACCGGTGCATGCCCCGAGCTCCTTCGGGACCAGCGAGCGGAGCGAAGCCAGCATGACGGCCTTGAACCTGTCACGAGTACGAGACACAAATGTTTGGGGTTGCAAAATGCTTAAATATCATATACTATCTGCTAGTATAATTTAGGGGTTGTAAAAGGGTTTCATACAATATATTATCATACAATATTCCACCATGATCAAATTCAGCTACGGCTAGAAGCAGAAACGACAACCTCGCTGGCCACAACGGTCAAACGTGGTATGCATACAATTTCATACAATAAGAAACCCTGGGCACTTTAGACTTGAGCTATGATAAGGAACCCCTGGTAAATTACAACCAGCAGTTGGAGAGCCACAAGCAGTGGCATGAACAACAACGGCTTTAAGCAGGTGCATGTAAAGCCCCAACTAGCACTCCTAAATCTTAAACACTGTCTGCCTCGGCTTTACAGTGGCCATGCACCCCATAGAAGCAACACGCGAGTCCAAACAGGACTGTTGGGGCTCAGTGGCCTTGCTATGGTTTAGGTAGAAGGTTGATGGGTTCAGGTTGAGGGGTTCAGGGATAGAGCATTGGCAAAATATCACGAAGCTCGACAGTGAATCTGCAGTGGACTGGGGCGGCGCAATGGTTCACTAATGCAACAGTACGAAGGACAGAAAGCTCTTACTACACCCCAAAGCCCTAAACCCCCGACCCCTAAAGATCTATACCCCAATACCTTAAACCCCATAAACCCCTAAATCCGGAACTTCCTAAACCCTAAACCCTAAACCCCATAAACCCCTAAATCCACAACTTCCTGAAGACCTCACCCAAACCCGACTGGGGCTCCAGGCTCTGGCAAGCCGATGTGACCTCCCTGGTACCTGGGACGGGGGGCGCTGGCAATGATGTAGGGTTTAAGGTTCAGGGTTTAGGGTCTAGGCGGTTCACGGATAGTTATAAGTGGGCTAACAAGTTCCCCTATGTGTATAATGTGTGAACAAATAAATAAATCAATAAATAAATAAATATAGAAATATATATATATATATATATGCCAACCCCCCCAAAGAACCACCGCGAGGTGCCGCGATAGCGCCACCAATCCTCCTTCGTTTAAGCTTCTGGTGACCCGACCTTGGTGTATGAACCAGGTTCCGAGGAAACAGCATATGGGGGGTTTCCGAAAATAGGGGACCCTAATATAGTATAAGGATCCCCAAATAAGGTACCCTAATCTTCGGAAGCTCCCATATGTATATCGGCAGAATCCTTCATCCTGATTTCTAGCGACCCTTCACGCTTTCGCCAACGATGCACGTCATTTCTGTCAAGGTAGCCTTCGCTGTAGTGTCAAAGCAAAACCCCAGCAATACGATGGCCGTTATATTTTTTCGGGATGATACAAGCATTTGTTTGTTATTTCAACATACTGTTTATGGCACCCCCTTTCTCATTGTAGCAGATGATCATCTCGGACTTGTTGTCGGACTTGCCGGTATGCGTGTATGTACATTTATGTGTGTATATATATACACATGCTAGCCCTAAGGTTAAACCTGTTTACTAGATACCAACATAATGACGAGCATCGTCACTTGACTCCTGGTTCCAAACAACATCAGCCCTACTGCAACCCTATCCTTGTCTTCGCCCTTGCGTCAATGGTTTTTCGCCCTGACAGCAGCCCTAAAGCCATCCATAGTAGGCTTATTACCACCCATAATCTGACCCCAATGTTTCTTATTCAAGTTCCAACCTTAGTCAGCTAGAAGAAATCGTAGTGGTAGCTGTGATGACCCTGATATCCTGCGTCCTGTTCTGTGGTAAACCTGCCGCACTAGCTCCCTATTTACACCAAAACTGATCCGAATAATGTCCTGGTTATTACCTATTGTGTAGTATTAATGCTAAGCGGAATCGACTCCCAATAGGAATGCCACTCGACGAACCTTGTTGGCAACACTATTTCGTAACGTGCGCAAGCAACACATGAACTACACACTTTTTGCTAGGAAAAATTTGGTTTTGGGTTGAAATATCAACCTTTTCCTAGGAAAAAGATGGTCTTGAACCGAAAAACAAACTTTTCATAGTGAAAACCAAAAAAATTTGGGAAACCCTACGGCCAAACTCCAAAGCATGGTTTGTTGGTCTTCCAGAGAAAAATCGTTTTCCAATCCAAGGCCATTTTTCCCCATGAAAAAACTGTTATCTCAGCCCCAAACCAACTTTCTCCTAGGAGAAGTTGTTTTTGTTTCGGCCCGAAACCATCTTTTATTAGGAAAAATAAAAGTTTGGTTTCTGCACCGAAAACCAACTTTTTCCTAGGGAAAGCCAAAAACCGACCTTTGTGGAGTCTGGCCGTGTAGTTTGCCAAAAGACTTGTTTTTTGTTTTTTTGGGTCTTCTCGAGGAAAAAGCCGGTTTTTGATTGGAAGAGTACAATGTTGCCATTAAGCGCGTGCTCACCTCGAACCTAAACGAGTTGCTCGGCGGTTGGTCTTTGGTTGGAAGAGTACAGTGTTTCTGTTGAGTGCTTGCTCACGTCGAAGCTGAACGAGTTGCCTGGCGCGTTCTCTTGAAATGTGGGTTTGGTTTTGGCAATCTTTGAGAGATACAGAGATACAGCATCCGGACCTGCCGGAAAAGCTGGTTTGAAACGGTATTTACGATACAAAACGAGGGCCGGTAGTTCATGGAGGGGCTTTACTATATATATATATATACACACACACTGCCAGATCACTATAGGTACATGGACCCTTATTGGTTGCCTGGAGGTGACTGGCGGACGGAACGGCTACGGTGCAAAGCTGACCAACATCTTCTCGACAAAGTTTGTTCCCCTGGCGAGTTGGTTTAGGGCCGGGGTTGAGGGAGGGGGTTAGATCTGGGGTTTAGGGTTTGAGGGTTTTAGGGGTTCAGGACCAGGACTCTACACTTGCTGGTAAGGATCTGATTAAAACTTGAGTCTTGCGGGTTTAGGTTTTAGGCTGGGAGGCTTATGGCTTATAGGGTTCAGGGTTCAGGCCATCCCTGAAATGAGGCAGCCAGGGATTGGATAAAGGTCTTGCATGTTTCTGGACACGTCTCTCCTACCCGATCTGTGGTCCTAGAAGAAAAGGTTCCCTTGGCACTGTCTCTCTCGCTCTGTCTCTCTCTCTCTCTCTGTCACTCTCCGTCTCTCATCCTGTGCATCTTTGTGTATATGTGTAAAATCTTCCAGATGCTTTTCGCCAGGTCATCGAATGTGGCGACGGTAAGCGAGGGCAGAAGTATGTCCAGACATGGGAGAAGAACATGCAGGCCAGTTCGTGCGCAGCAGCCAGCTGTACCTGCTATCCAAGGCGGCAACCTCTAAGATACGAAATTCCAACTTTCAAAGAGAAAGCTTTCTGAATGAGCATGCCAGCATCCCTGCAAACAAGGGCCATGCTGAGCCCACACGTTCGGCTTTGGTCGAGGTTTAGTGCCGCCAAAACCCGCAGGAATCATCCCCACTGACTGTCTGCGAAAGGATTTCAGCACTTCCAGGCATTCTACGGTGCAAGATGGAGGTATTTGGACGGTGTCAAGGTCAGAAGGGGCTGAGAGTTAGCATTTTGATTGTGGCGATTGGCTGTACTTGAGCTTTACATGCCCACCTGAACAACGAGAAAGTTCACTTGTGGTCATTGCTGCAGTTGTCTGAAAGCGGAGAACGTTGAACAGGGTGACAGACGTCTTGATGCTACCCCTGGTGTCTCGCATGTTCCGTTTACAAACCCCGAAAGCCATACTATAGGGGCCTAAACACTTGCCTAGATTATTCTGGGGGCTTCTTATTACAATTATAATTATACTTTGAAGGACCCCCAAACCCTATTCTAATTATTGAGGCCCCCTATACTACACCTCGAAACCTCTCGAGCCGAAGCCTAAAGCCCACCGTCTTTTCGCATCGAGGAGAAAGGAAAAGCCTCCATCACCAAGTACTCCGGGAAGGCGCAAGATGCCCCAAGGGTCCGTGTACCCAAATAGTAGATACTTGGGCCCAAAAGTAGTCTCTATATCCCTTACCCTCAAAGGACTCATGGTTTAAGGCTTTTGGGCCCAAAGACCCTATGATATGAGGCTTTTGGGCTCTTTTGATGCTTAGGGTACAGGTACCTTGGGGCCACAGTATATACTATTTGGGTACACGGACCCTCAAGGATAGGGCTGCAAGGGTCGAGCCTTCTGCCAGAAACTCCCGAACCGTAAACCACGGTTTAGGGGTTTAGGGTTTAGGGAGCCTCCGCATTTCTTGGCCCCCGGTAGAAGTCGTTTGCTCTTTTGGTGTTGGGTTTGAGCGTAAGGTTGAACCATATCAACAAAAGAAACCTGACCAGCCTGATCATAAAGGGGATCCCAGAGATCTACTCCGTTTATGTTTCTAAAGCCCTCATATCGCAAAACCCTAAACCTAAGGGTCACAATAGTCCTTATTTATGGTTTCAGGTACACAAAAAGGCCCCAAAGGCCTCAAATAATGGGCATTTGGACCCTTAGGGAGTGGGCTTAATCTACGGTTTAGGGTTTAGGATTTAGGGTTTAGGGTTTATGATTTAGGGTTTAGGGTTTAAGTCTCCATCCGACGTCTTGTTGAGAGTTCCTCAGCTTGGCTTGGGGCGTCCCTCCAAACCGGGTAGGCTTGCAAGCTCCAAGGCCTGCATCGTAACCCTAGGCACTCAAACCCAGAAGCCCGAAACCCTGAAACGTAAAACCGAAACCCCTAAACCCTCAAATCCTAAGCCCCCAAACCCCTAAACCCTAGACTTAAAACCCAAACCCTAGACCCCTAAACCCCTAAACCCTAAACTCCCCAAGCCTAAACCCTGATCCTCGACTCGATGTTCAGAGACCCACTGAGCACCCGACGCCTGAAAGCCTCAATCAAGGTCCTGAGCCTTGTGTATCTTCTACAGCTGATCTTAAACAGGGTTTAGGGTTTAGGGTTTCTCAAAAATGAGCTTTGAAGACTTCTTCTTAAACTATATCGTGGTATCTATTTCAGGTCTGCGAGGTAGTTCGGTTCAGCGTTGAGGCAACTTTTTTTCTCGGCAGGGGAGGGTGGGGTGGGCTATGCTCTACTGAGACTGGACAGTGTACCTTTGAGAAAAGGAAATGATCGAACATTTGCGTATGTCTGTGTTTCAGGTACCTGTGTCAGTCTGGTCTAGGTAAACCCTAAACCCTAAAACCCTAAACCTCTAAATCCTAAACCCTGAAGTCATGATCTCCTGGTCTCTTAGGCCTTTCGGATGGATCATGCAGCCGGAAGAAGGAGCTAAAAAACAACCCTGACTTCAGGACTTCACGAAGGTGACCTTCTATCCAGACCTCAAGCGATTCGGCATGTCCAAGCTTGACCAGGCGCTTGCCTTAAGGGTCTCATCTGTCCTTAATTACTTCCCCAATACCCAACCTTTATACTTTTTGGGTTCGAATTGTTATAATTTAGTAGTAACCTGAAAGTTTAACATTTTTATTTCCCTGGCTTATTCGGGAAGTATGTGTCTCATCAGATTTAGCGCGTTGGGGTTCCTTTGTTCTCCAACACCCGACCTTTAAAGTTGTGGTTTAGGGTTTCGGCTTTGTGGATTTTGGCTACAAGAAGTCATTATCATCTTCAAGGTTGAACCTTGTTCCACCTTACACAGCGAGGAGCTCGAAAGGAATCCATGCTATAGCCCGAATATAGAGGTCGGAAGAGTTGGGTACCAGTACTACTGGTGCTACCCATGGCTTGTCCTTATGCAGCTACCCCATTTCTCAGTATTGAGGCCCTTTATCTGCCTTATCTTAGACTCCAATCTTTGAGCACGTGTTCGTGCAGGTTTTGTATAGGGTTTTAGATCTTTGTGCTGCAGTTGATTGGCCACAGAACTTGCAGAATTGTTTTCCATCCCCATAATCCTAGGTAGTATTCGGGGGACCCCTTAAAAGAGGACCCTTCGGAACCCTACTTATGGCTCGCTTAAAAGAGACTTTATTGAGAGGGGCCTGATCCTATCTCCTACTTAAAGGATCATGGACTTAGGGGTAGGGTAGCTATACTTATAGCTACTTATA